ATTTAGAATTAGCAATTAGTAGTCATTAGTAAAACGAATGTTTGAACCAGTGAATAAAATCAACGTCTGTACATAAGTACCCAGATGGCACAGATCGTCCCATTGACATCATAATTAAGTCAAAAACTGTCACAGGAACCACTTTAAACTGTCCCAATGAGGTCATAATCTGACATCTATGGTACTTTATCTTGTGATATACCTTAAAAGTCTTATTGACTATTTGCCATGAATTTTGCCAAGTTGGCAATTAACACTGTTCTTTTACTAGGATCAAAATCAGTGAAAACTTTATTACCAAATTTTCTACTATATTTTATAATTGGCGTTGAACAGCCAACCTAATTCTGAGTTTACGACTATCAAGGTTATCAACTTCGTATCCTTGTAGTTTTTACCCCAAACCAGAAAACAAAAAGAATCCTGGATAAAACATTAGGACAAACTTGCCTTCGTAGAGGATTGAACCGAAAATGTAAAATGTAATGGAACTGAACAGCATTGGTGTTACTCGGAAAGGAAAACCACGAAATTATAGACTAAATTATATAAATTAAGGGTTATCTGATGCACAAGGCAGTAATTCGTAATTCTACAGCATGCACAAGTATGAACTCGCAATAAGTAATTGAGGTGACAAAGGATTCTTTGAAAATTATCCAAGCATTGAGCATAGCAACTACATATCGCAAACGTTGGAGAAAAAGACCAGCAAGTGCTACGTATCGTAGAATAAATTCTTAGAGTTTAGTATGCTGAGTTTGCTTCACATTTCGTACTATTTTTGCTTGTGACAGTGCTTGGCTTCAACTCTGTACTATCGCCTGCAAACACATTTGCATGAATACTATTCAAAATTATGCACGTAGAAAAGAATCCTGGTAAAACGTTCGTAATGTGTAGTAAAGACATTTCTCATAAGAGAACATAGTTTTGTTTAACAAGGATAAATCAACCGGTATTTAAATCATTAATTTGGTTATTTTTCCGTTCATATAATAACGGCTTACCGGAATTCTGATTTTCACAATTATAGTTCTTATTAACTTATATTTTGCAAAAAATATTAAGCTGCAAAATAAATTTAACCGAATAAATGGTTTTTATGTCATGCTCTTAGATATCAAGATAAAATTATCAAATTCAGCCCTTGTACCAAATTTTATGCAATAGTATTTTAAAGGCACATTTTTAATTGCAATCATTATAAAATTTACTGAGTTCCCTTAGAGTCAGAAATACGTTAAATTTTATCATAATATGGAAGTTTTGATCATATACTTTTTCTTCTCAGTGTTAGATTCTTTTTCCTTTGCACATCTATGGCTAGTGTTTTGTTTCCATTTTGTAGGACAAAAGATATTAAGGGAAGTTTTCACTGTAGGAATAGGTTTCAACAATGGAATTTCATATTTTTATTGATATTGCACATGAAATACAAAATGCAAACAAGTGGTGATTTTTTACAAACCACCTAAGAATTTAGTTAAATATTTTAAATCTAAACTAATTTAAAGAGCCATCAAAAATTAAACGCCAAATTTAAAGAGCTCTGAAAAGCTTAACATTCCTCACCAACGAGCTGCAGATTGGTTTCTGCTAGGTTTTAAATAAGGCAGTTTATAATTAGAAAGTGTATTTTGTAATAATCATGATGTCGTTCGTATATTTTAATTTTATTTTGAAATCTGAATTTTCTGAGATAAAAAATATTCATTTAGACTTTTCCTCCAATAAACATTTCGTATAATAAATATGAACTTTGAACTCAGCCCTAAATTTAATCTGAAATGATTAGATTCGAGAATCACGACCTAAATATAACCAGCCGTATTTCAATCATATTCTTTGCATAGTAGCGTGAAAAAATTATTCGTTAAAAATATTTTAGGTTACTGAAACTTTTTCCCCGATTGTTTTTAAGAACTCTGCCCTAAATTTAACCTGAAAAGATCAGTTTTGAGAACTACGAAATAAAAGTAACCGGGAGTATTCTAATTCTGTACTAATTACATAGAAGCATTCAAAAATTCTTCGCTAAAAATATTTTAGGCTACTCAAACTTTTTTCCTATTTGTTCTGCAGTATAGTTTGTTTCGCTCAAAAGAGATCATTTGTATCTAATACAAAAATGCGAATCAGATCTAAGCTGTAAGATTTTGGTTTGGTATAACTATATTCATGATAACTTTGTCTGTTTAGTTACAATGTTAAAAAAATTTCGCTATAAATTACAGGTACTTTGGGTGCATGAAATCCATTTTAACGTTGAATATTATACCGTTATTTTCCGAGTAATTTATTAATTAGAGTGACTTAGTAGTTTTGGGGTAGTTATTACTATAAAAATTACGGTATGGCAGAGCTTTTGTTCCGTAACATTTTTCGATGACACTCTAAATACTGTTTTTTTTTTTACCGTAATTTTACCGTCCCGTAATAAAATTTTTCTGCAGTGCATCAAAATATATCTTGATGTTTTCTTGTCTAGATAATTTTCCTTTCAATATGGATAAAGCATCTGACAAAATAAAATTAAAGCAAAAATAATTAAAGCAAACTTTTGTAGCTAACAATTTAATTATTTTATGTAATATAAAACAATATTCTTGTCATACGAATGTCGGACAATAATCTTATTAGTTTATCAAACATTGTTTTTCAACCAGAATAAACTAACACAACTTCTTTCATCAATTCTAAAAAGAATTTTAGAACCATCATATACGTTTAAAATATTTCGACTGCACGCTTTTAAATCATTTTGAGCTTAAAGTATTAAAAAAAAATTAAGTTGTCAAGATTTTTTAATAACACTTCAAATTAGTTACGTAATTGTACGTTTAAAATTTTTCAGTCGCAAGCTTTTTAATCATTCTGGATTAAAACTATTTGAAGAAATAAAGTTGTCAATATTTTTTAATAACATTTAAAATATGTAATTTAACTTTTTTAATAACATTTAAGTTATGTAATTGTAATTGATAAAATGAATATAAAAAAAATCCTTAATATTAAAAATATTTTTAAAAAATTTTATTGAAAAAAATGCATATCAAAGAGCACAGTCAATTGCTTTTAAAAATATTCCACTTTTTTAATTTCCACTTCCTTAATTATTCCATGTAATAAGAAAAATTCAAGTAATTTAGTAAGACACTTTACTTTCTTTTAGTCAAGATTTTTATGAGTTACGCATCAAGTGTTATTATTATTGTTCTAAATTTTGAAGAAAGCAAAAATATATAGTAAGTAAATAAATAAAATACAACATTAATTAAAAATACATGTGTTTAAACCAAATTAGATGAAAGTTGCTCGTTATGTTCTCTAAATTTCCTTTCTTGTGTTCCGCTTATTTTTTCTTACTTTCTCTTAGTTCATATTTATTAAACTCATTACTTTTTCAATTATCTAAATTTCATATTTTTATCACCCAAGTAACAAACATTATGGACCAAATAAAAATCCATAATGACACCAGATAATACGTGGTTTTATTTTCAGCATCAATTTATTCTTGAAATCTCGTTATTAATATTTATAAAAAAATAAAATAAATCGTGATAATTACACAATTTATTTTGTATTTCTTGTACTCATTTTCTTTAATTTTAGCATAAAATCAATTTAAACTATGTAAAATAATTTATTTACTAAAATAGTTGTAATAAATTTTTTTCTCAAGTATGGTAATGAGTGTTATTTTAAACACAAGAGTTTTTTTAAGTTGGCTTAGTTGCAATTATATTTAAAATCTAAATAACCAAAATATAAAACAAAATACATTTTTTTAGTTTAAGCAATTATTCTAAAAAATGTTACTTGAAGCTAAACTGTAAAATTGATTTCCATTATTGGTTTTCGATTAAGAAAGATTTGCATAAGCAATCATCTGATAAAATATTTTAAAGGAAACTTTTAAACAAAATGCCGTATACTTACTTGGGTACTTGAAAACTCAATGATGTTTTAACGAAAAAAAAGCTATGAAATAACCTATAACTACATGCTAATTTCCTAATTTCATAAAATATTTTGAATAAATAACTGTCAATAATGCTGTTTTAGCTTTCATTCATTTTACACTGTAAGCTTAAACAAATTTTTAACATCTTTTTCATATTTTTAAAAGGTCGAATTAACAAATTCAGTTCTATTTTATAAATTCGATAAAATAAGAATAATATTTTATTTTTTTCATGTTTTTAAGCATAAAGCTTTTACCTTCAAACTAAATACGTGGTTTAAAATTATTACGAGATTTTTCTCATTGAGAATAATACAAGATTTTCTTAAATATACTTAAAATAAAAACATTTCTAAATAGATTATAAGCAGTAAATAAATGCAGCAAATGTATTTTCTCTTTACACGAAGAATTTTTGTTTTTATGTCAATCATAGAAAAATCGAAGTAATAAGTTAAACAAAAGAAAAAAAATACTAATACATTTTTTATATGAAAAAAAAATTACGACTTTATTTGAATTAATATAAAAAGTGTAAATTTTAATGGCAAACGGTATTTTTTAATATTTTAAACTACAATTTGAATTCCAAAATTATTTTTATACTTTTATGTCAATTAGAAGAAATTGTAAGTGGATAAATAAATTAAAGTTTCACAACAACTAACTTGCATAATATATCGTAAATAATATTTAAAAAAATTGATTAAAAACTTTTGTCAATTTTGTGGTGATTTTCATTTCATCTTATTATATAGTAACACTGCTAAATCTTATTTATTCCAATTATAAGAAAGCAATATACACGTCAAAAAACGGATTTTAGAAAAACTGACGAGTAAATAAAAAACTAAAATAAATAAAGTTCACTTTGAGCACTGAATTCTAAATTTTTAAAAAAGATTGAAAATTTTCAACTTAATACAATATTTAGTATATTTTTTCATCACTTTCACATAAGTGAATAACTAACTTTAACCAATATATTAAAAGTGTTTTGTAATATATGAAGATAAACTTGAATTCTTACCTCCATGATCGTAATGTCCTCTCCCGCGATTGTGGGGATTCCTCCTGGTGTGAAGAACACAAATAACTATGGTAACAACTATCACAATAACAACAGCACACACAACAGGAACAATAATACTCAGGTGCTTAAAAAACTTCCTATCTGATGAATTTACAGTGGATGGTGGCGCAACAGTACCTAAAATTTTAAAACATACATTTTTAGATGCATAACTATGTGACACAATTATGCAACCTTTAAAAATGAATGCGCTTTTAGTGGTTTTAATTATTCTCAAATGTTTTGGTTAGAAAAAAAATTATTTCGATTACCGAAAATGATTTTATTGATTTACCAAAAAAACTGTATTTTAAAAAATAATAATAATAAATTACCCGTAAATATATGCAGGATCCGCGCTAAGCATTCGATAAAATCGTAAATGCGATAAAATTGTAAATTTGGCGAATAAAATTGTGTTTTGGAGAAAGTATGGGCGAATGATTTTTTCACTTGAAACAAGAAAATATATTTAACTCGATCCTCAAAATTACGTCATATTTTTTTGAAGCAAATCAGTACTTTTTATTCGATTACAAATCAGTATTTATTATCGTTTTCTGTGAATGCGCAGCATAACCAATTAGAATTAGGTTCAAGCCTGTAACATAAGCCTGAGGCAAAGTACCGTAAAATAGATTTATGGAAAAAATAATCATAAAAAATTGTTATGATTTTCATTTGGTGAGGACTTGTGAAAGTTGGCGAATACTTTTAATATTTGGCTAAGTCACTTTCTAATAATTTAAAATCCTTAGATGGCTATGTATATCTATATATTTTATGGTTGCATTCAATTAATTTCTTGATGCATATTCTAAGATTTTTAATTGTTTTCTTACTTTAAATTTACATATATTGCATCTATTTGTTTAATCCTTCTTTAAAAAAATCCGAATATTTTTTTTTTCATTTGCGACTTCTAAATATTGTTAAGTTTCAACGTAAAATGCAGTACTATGTTCCGAAAAAGAGTATGTCCTTACAGTGCTTTAAATCCTTATTTTCTGTGCTAAAAAAGTAGAAGTATCAAAAAACTCAGTTACAAGTCAGTAAAGTTATACAAAAAAAATCTTAAATTCTAGCTTTTGCACCAAATTCAGTTCAGTTCAGTTCAGTTAAGCAATTAGATGGTAACAGTTCTGATGTGATAAAGTTCAGAGTTTTGTATTAATAATCTTCCATGTTATAGTGCTACTTAATTTTCTTTTTTTAATTAAAGATTTAATTACGCGTTTCAATGTTGATTATTTCTTTGTAAACAATTTACTTTCTGTGTTCCTTGTGAAGCTGTCGGAAATCTTGATAATGTAAATATTTCTTTTCGCCTTGTAAATTAAAAATTGGAGAAACAGTCGACATGTTTCGAGGGTTCAAGAACTGGGACCCACGTTCAAAATTCACTATAGACGTGAATAAAGAAAGCAAAGCAGATTTGAAAACGAGGATGCAAAGATTTTAAGGAAAAAATGAAACACAAAATGAAAGTGAAAAACAAATTTAGAAAAGCCGCAGGCGATAAATCAGGACAGGAAGCACTTCCCAGCTCTGTTGATAGTTTGTAAAGAAATCATGTCGTTCATCAGGGAATCGGCATTTATGTAAATGGCATAATATTCAAAACCGTTAGGCTGGACTGAAGAGTCTTACTTTATTTTCCATTTTTTTGGTTAACAGTTCTGCATTTTTTCTCAACTTTCTTATTGTTGTTTTTTTCATATGCGTGCTGTGAGCTTTGATGACGAATGTATATTTTTGAGCACTCAAAATATGACAATTTCTACCTTTCTAATTTATGAATCTAATGTAGCATTCATATTATCAAGTATATCTTTTTTTTCCAATGCCCACCTATGTTAACATCCGTCAATTCAGGTATATACAGGGCGATTTTTGTTGGCCTCTCTTACAGGGGCACCATATTAGGTGAGCCAACATCACTCCCACAGTAAGAACAGATAGTACAGAGAATGAAAAAACATTCATGCCTTGCCCAGGATTCGAACTTCTAGTTTCTTGGGGTAATTCATTTTATTTAAGCAAGTTGTTTATAAGTTATTTTGCGTTTGCGTACTATCATTAGCAGTAAATAAAAGAACTAATTAGTTTAAAAGAATTTTAGAAACGACATGTAAAGTCAGACGTCCTTAAAAAATAAGAAAAATTTTATTTTTTTAAAACACATGTAATTTATTGCATGATATTCTTAAAATTTTTGTCAGAATTTCAACAGCGTTTTAGATAAAGTCTGATTCTGAAAAACTATTAAACTTAGCTTTTTTAGCTTAAATATCTAAAAATTTAAACATTTAAAAATCTGAAAATATGCAATTCTTTTTAAACGGTGAAAATTGTTCGACAAAACTCTCGAAATTTAAGCAAAGTTTTACAAAAAAATTTTTCAAGTGAGTTTAGTAAAATATAATTTATGTCAAAAAACTCTTTTTTAAGTGTAAATTTTAAACTAAATTTTAACTAAGTCCTGGATTGCATCTTTTTATGACAACTGTCTTATACAGTTTTAAAAAAAAAAGTTTTTTGGTTATTTTTACATAATGATTATTCTATAAGAGTATAAATCAAGCTATAGTAGAATTATTTTATATTCAGATTAAATATATTTTCCTTGCTATTCTATTTAATAAACACTAATTTTTTTAAACTAAAACTGTATGCATTTTCAAGAAGCTTTAATTTTACAAACTGTTGATAAACCTTCTACAGAAATATTTTTCTATAAATAATTACCGAAAAAATATAAACCACTTTTTCGAAACAATATTTCATTTTTTATGTCATTTAGTTTATTGATTTCATCAATCATAAAAAATTGAACGATACGCATCAACAAAATATCATTTTCTCATCAATCATAACTCATAAAAAAGAGGATTGGAACTTTTTCTTCGTCATTAAAGCAAAACTGAAAGCACATCCTTCCATTTATGCATTTAAAGTTACATTTTTCAAACGGTTATGAAGGATAATTAAATGTTAATAAAAACTTAAAAACTAACTCTATAATTTAAGCCAAAAAACGAAGAAAAAAATATTTTAATTGAAGAGTTAATTATTTTGTACTTTTTTAAACTTAAAAATATCATTTTTATGCACACTTATTCGTGTTATTTTTTTAAAATCATTTTTGCCTAAAACTGAGTGAAAATTATTCAAATTCGCTTCCCATTTTTTGCTGAATTTTTATGTTAAAGCTTTATGGGCAATATTTATGCTGGAATATCATGGCTATCATTTTGCGAGTCTACCGTAAAAATAATCTTGTTCATACATGATTTTGAGATACTAAATAGATAAAATATAATAGATAATAGTTTACCAATATATAAGGATAATTGTTTACCATATATGGTGAAATACGTAAAAAGTCATATTAACTTTGAAGGGTTCATATTATAGAGCGTTTGCCGGCCAAAGCTATTGACATCACATTTTTCAGATTGCTGCTATCCTCATTTTTAAGGGTAAAAAAGTCATGTTAATTCAGAGAAAGTACGTTTTTATGCCTGATTTCGTAAAAACAAAGTCTTCATAAATATTTTGATGTATTTAAAGTAAGTCTAAGAATCTATTAAAATTGCATCTTTAAAAGTGAAAATGCAATGATTAGATCAAATGTAATTCAATTGGTCTCATTCTGCTTCATTGCAAGCACACATTATTCCAAATGAAATTGCTGAGAATAGCAGAAAAAATACGTTAAGTAGCATTCTAAAAATACACTGATTTTTAGGCTTAGGAACAATTATGATTGCTTCCAAAAATTGAAAGAGATCTTTTAATTTTAAAATGAGATTTTTGATAGATATTTTTTTTTTGATAAAAGGTTCATATTCAAGTTACTTTATACAAATTTTAAGAAACTCACATTTCTTTTTTGTTATTTTTTCAATTTTAACACAGTTTTTTAATCATAAACAAGAAATTGCATGAAAACAACAAATGCATAGCTTACAAAACTTCAATAATAAAAAGTATATTATCATCTCATAATTAATTATATTTCATAATCTTAATTTATTTTAAACTTGACTTCCAAATTTACACTCTTTGTTTATTCCTGTTGTATGATTGACATTAATGATAAACCAGATTCTAGCTTGGAAATTTTCAAAACTATCTTTAATCCTTTTAAGAAGTACAAAGTTATGCTCAATCCAATTTAATAAACTACAATATTCTCCCTCTTTATGGGGTCGTCCATCTGATTTAATGAAGCTTGGAGTTAATTTGTTCATTTCAAAGATGGTAGAAAATTGCTACGAATAAATATGGCATTAGGAAGTCCCAAATCGCTTCCATAGAATATTTAGCTATTCATTTTTAAACCGAAATTGCTAATTCCGTTTTGATAATAAATTTTAGGTTATTTAAAATGTCTCTATTTGTTCTGACGTTAAATGACTTTTCTAATTATAAACCGATGAATGAGTTTATTTAAAATAAAGAAGCAGAATTACTATTTCTACATAATCCTGAAAATTCATTCACGAAGAAAACCCTCTCTGGTAAAATTTAATTACTGGCATGACAATGACATTTCTGGTAGAAAAAAAACATACTTTTAATACTTAAAACAATTGGTTTATGTATCGCATATTTTAATTTTTATCATTAGAATTATTGTTTTTCTTATTAAAAATGCCATTCCCATTGTAACGTAACACTGTGACAACTGAGCTAAAATCATCAATTCCTCGAGAGGTAATGCTAAAATGATGTTGCTTGAGAGACACACACGAGAAGTGATGTTCTTTTTTTTGTGTAGTTGAAAAGAGAGTTTTTTTCTAAGAAGAGATATTTCTTTCGGTAATATTTTGTGATTGTTCGTGTGAATGTTTAAATAAATTGTTTGGTACAACTCACGTCTTATTTCTGGTTGTTGTGACACAACACCATACTTGTATGGAAATTTTATCAGAATATGTTTTCTCTGTGTAGGAATTCTCAGGATTATTTCTCCGTGTATGAATTCTATGCAAAGATATCAATTATTCTTCTTTAATTATGTTTATTTATTATGGTATCTATGCTTTATTAGTATAAATTACTCAGTTGATAATTTTTACATTAGTATGGCAATGGTTAATCGAACATTTTGGTTTCTAAAATTAAAGTTTTTATTACCATACATTTAGTAAAACATACAGAATTGAAAACAAAACTTAACCGAATAATAGTTTTTATGCCACGTTCTAAGGATTATTAAATTATTGATTATCACCAGATTTACCAAATCACATATCATAAAACCAAAATTTATTGATAATTTTAACAAAAAATGGAGATGCTTGATAACTTGCTTAAAGATATCATGATAAGGCTGACAAATTTTAAAACATTTACAAAGATTTTTCTCATGTGAATATAATACGTGAAAAATCTGCGACCATACCATACCTGGTATAATACCATATTTTATTGCAAATTTGATATTTTTTAACTGTAGGGACAAAGGACAACTATAGAAACATTTTACCATATTCTGGTAGTTTTGACCATAATTCTATACTCAGTGTATTAGTAGGATACAAAAATAACTCAGCATTCCTCTACATAGCTCTACCCTAAAATTTGAATATTATTTTGTGATACTAGTTTCTTTTTGCTGAATTTCATAAAATAAGTTTTCAAATGAAAATATAAAACGTTATCAATTTTTCATATGGAAAATTCTTGTTAATCGCAATAAATACTCATTTAGAATAAAAACAATGATTATATTTAAATTTTTAGCATCAAAATATTAAGCAACTTAAAATGACACAAAAGACTTACCACCAAATAGAGTGAGGGTAGCGAAAACATATTCAGCGTCAGTAGAACCAGCATCGTTTTGTGCAGAAATCATCAAATTATACCAAGTGCCTGGAGTTAGTTCAGAAAGCAAAAGTTTCCCTGTTTCTGGAAGTACATTATTGGATACCAAAAACCATTCCACCTCGGACAAAAGTTTATATTTAACTTCGAAGTAGGATATTGGGCAACCACCACTGTGCCAGGAATCAAGCCTTAACGTCACGAACGTGGAATTGATTGTTAAAAAGGAATGTTTGTCTGGAGCAACTGGTGCTAGAATGGAATAAAATCATTATCAATACTACCAATTATGCGTAAGCAAAATATTGATAGCTCATATACTTTATTTCCAGCTTTTTGCTAGTCTTGTCAACAAAGACTATTTATTTTACTTTTTGTAATTTATATCTTTATCATTAATAGCATCGATTAGTAAAATAGTAATAAAATAAATAGTATCTTTTCGCATTGTTGCAAATTATCTAAAACTTTAATTTAAAACAGTATGGTGAATTTAAAGGTCATATCTATTATTATTAATCTTAAGAAACCACCAAAAAACGTAGTTGTATTTTAAGGCTTTTTAATATTCTTGTATTGTATTTAATATTTAGTATTATTTTTATAATTTAGTTTTATAAGTAGTGTGATTATATTAAAAAAGTAATACGTAATAACGGTATGGAAAATTTAAAGGCGATATCTATTATTATTAATCTTTAGAAAGCACCAAAGAACGTTGTTAGATTTTAAGACTTCTTAATATTTTTGTATTGTATTTAATATTTAGAATTATTATTATAATTTAGTATTATAAGTAGTGTGATTATATCAAAAAAAAGCAATACGTAATTAAATGTTTGATTAAATGTGAAAATTAAGGATTTAAATTTCAATATTAAGCTATACAGGGTGTCCCAAAAGGTCGTTTACAAACTGAACATGCTTGTCTGTCATATCATGATGAACAAGATTTACTTAGGAACTTTTGTCCGAAAATTAAAACTGAGACCGCTAGAGGGCGATAAGTGCAGGTTTGGATGAGGAGAAAAAAAATGATATCGATAGCGGTGTTAATATGATTTTTATTATAAAACATCATTACATCACAGCAAATGCTCAAAATTCCTTCCATTCGCCACAATGCACGTTTCACAGCGTCGGCGCATGGATTCACGAACCTGTTCAATTTGGCCAGGAGTGTCACGGGCACGTGCTGCCGCTTCCGCGATCCTGGCGATAAGATCCATGTCCGATGTTACAGGTGTCTCGTACACTATGGACTTCATGTGTCCCCCAGGTAGAAATCCAGGGGAGTCAGGTCGGGGGATCGCGGCGGCCATGGGACTGGTCCGCCTCTACCGATCAAGCGATTAGGATAAATCCTATCGAGGTATTCTCGAACAGCGTAGCTAAAGTGGGCAGGAGCTCCATCATGCTGAAAAATGATGCTTCGGCGTGCAGCGGCTGGAACGTCACCCATCAGATCCGGCAAAAATCTTTCTAAAAAAATGCTAAAGTTATTTCCGTCGAGGCGTTCAGTGCATGTCGGCCATTTCTGCGTTACTAAACTCATTCATCCTTCTCCTTCAACGTCCACGCCTGAAATGATTGTTTTTTCCACTCTCCCGTTTTCGTGCAATTATCGCCCTCTAGCGGTTGCAGTTTTAATTTTCGGACACAAGTTCCTATGTAAATCTTGTTCATCATGANTATTTAATATTTAGAATTATTATTATAATTTAGCATTATAAGTAGTGTGATCATATTAAAAAAAAGCAATGCGTAATTAACTGTCTGATTAAATGTGAAAATTAAGGATTTAAATATCAATATTATGCTATATAACCACTATGGAATTGACGAGGTCGGTTAAGTGTTAATAAAATTAACCTAAACAATTATTACTTTGTACCAAAATAATATTTACAATTCATTAAAAATCACTTAATGTAAACAATATTAGCCTATTCAGTGGAATAATTAATAAAATTCTCTACATAGATAAGAAAACCTTAAAAGTCAATAAAAGTGATTCAATATTTGTTTAATGGATTAGAGGAAATCAATTACGTCAAGCCTCCTTACTATTCTGACCGACATAAATTATAATCAAGTCCATTACTAAAACCAGCTTTACACAGTTAATCACCATGAGGCAGAAAGGCTCCTATCCAATCTATCTATGTATTTATATATCACATAGCCAGTAACGATCATTACTTTAAATCCTCAAGAGACATCGACGATTTACATATTGTCTCTGTCAGGCAAACATCGGAATCAGTTATTTCGAATCCGATATCATTTTAGCTTGACAGAGTAGTATTTGAGGATTTGACTTTGAGTATTTACCTGTGCCTTCGGTCTTCAGCTGTAAGGCATCGGAAGGCTCTCCATTTCCAGCTTTGTTGAAGCAAGAGATTTGGACTTGATATCGAGTACCACAACGTAAAGGTTGTAAAATATGGTTGTTAATGTCGGGAGGAAGTCTGTGTTCTGTCCATTCCCCTTTGTCTTCTCTGTAGTTTAGGATGTATCCTAAAATTATTCAAGTATAAAGGTTGTAAAAAGTCATAAAATAATAAAATCGTAAAACACTTGTGCCATTGTATAGCACATATGAAATTATTGTTTAATAACATGAATGTATTTTGCTGTATTTTAAATTTACAAATTAAATCAAATTATATCATGTTTTAATTAATTTACAATGAATGTCATTAATTTAATTATGTTATTTTAATATGATTAATGGCTGGGATAGCCTGGTTTGCAGGGCGCGAGACTCACATTTGTGAGAACGGGAACTCGAATTCCACCAGTCGAAGTGTAGTAAATGGTGACTGGTGCACGTTACTTCTGTCGAGTCTCAAAGTCCTCCATGTTCCCATAACAAATCAATACCTCTGGGGGTACTGAATTGGAGATTGATCGTTCTCTGGTTTAGGTCAAAATTACAATCTGTGGATGAATAAATGGATGTAGGAATGGGTCTGCCTATAAACGAGTGTGACGAATGCGTGTGGTGGAAGTCGATTTATTGGCCATAGATGGCGCCAATGGATAACAAGAACAATAGCACCCTCTCTGCGCCAGACTGCAACAACAATATGTTATATTGGTAAGTAAGAAAAATTGGTGTTATTTGATTATTACGTCTTTTATGTAATTCAAGTAATCAATTATGATAATCAACTAAACTATTTTTCGATATATTATTTCCAAATTATATTGGGTTAGAATATGTTATTAAATATTTATTTAATTAATAAACAATTGTTTAAAATTTAAAAACCCAATATATTTGGAAATAACATATTGAAATATAGTTTAGTTGGCTGCCGTAATTGATTACATAAATTGAATAAAAGAAGCAGTAATTGAATTACAGCAATTTTTCTTAAGTAAAAACTATTAATTTAACAGAAATATAGCATATTAAAGTACCATAATTAAGTTAATGATATTCATCGCAAATTAATTAAGAGAAAGAATTACGTATTTCTTTCTCTTGACTTTTTTCATATTATTCTCCATCTGCGCATTGAATAGAGGGCGTTGTTTTCTTTAATTTTTAGTGTTTTCTTTTCATTTGGTTTGCTTGTGAAATTGATGTTTGACCTGTGACTATGTGAGTTTTTATTTTTCTGATGATTTTGTTTGAGTTTCTTTTCTGAATTTGTTATTTGTATTTCATGTTTTCTCCTGGACTTCTACACAAAACCATAGGGGTACTAAGGGAGTTAATTTAGGCATTTGCTTCTCCCTCAATTAGAAATGGTTTTGTTTTTTTGGCTACAGAGGCCGGCACCCCCTGAAGACGCCGGCTTCGGTGGTCATATTTTTATATTTATTTCCTTCGTTTTCTTTACGTTATTAAACAAATATTTCCTATGCGGTATACTATACCACATTGCATAATATCATATGTAAACAAGAAAGGCTTCGTTAAAAATAAAACTTAAGGACTTTAAACAGTGCTTTCTGGGCGAATTTTTTCACGCTAGTTCAACCTCAATGCAAGGTTTTTGTATGGAAGGCTGTTTTCTAAGGTTTTGGATTAGGGAAATGTGTGCAGAATTGAGCAGATTGTCGCAGATCTCGTCCTCAGATTCGAATGTTTACACGTAAATCACATAACAAAATTGTACGATTATACATTTTCATGAAAGTCGGTTAAATGGTGAGCTATAAAACAGTGAAAATGTGCTACAGTAGATTGTTGAATTTAGCCATGTTTCAAATATAACCCAGTATCATACATTCAAGTTTGAGATTTACGATAGTTTTAATTAGAATCGTAATTATGTTGCTTTAAAGGTGAATGACATTCAGGTTCAACACTCTCCGAAATTTCTAAAAGCGCAATGATATACGTAACAGAAACTTAACTGAGATGCTTAATTCCGATCACATCATATGTTATTCTGTATACATAATCTGACAAACATCAAATATTTGGTGCAATATTGTGCTATAACTACAAAAGTTTATTTTCTTTAAATCTACAGCTCTTTCTAATCTTAGAACATAGCATAGTCTGCAGAGTGTGTGACATAACGTTCAATTTAATTCGTTTCGATTTAAAATGCTATGTCACAACCCAAGTCTATCAATTACAAACCCCGCCTCTATAAATTAAATATAAAGTTTACAAAATTAGTTAAGTTTTAACTTAATGACAAATATTAAGTAATTCAAAGATTCGAACGTTAAGTATGCTACCTAATTAGTCCAAAATGTTTTTTTAAATAACGGATTATGACAAAAAAAACAAATTTTCATGAGTAAATATTTCTTTCTTCGAAGGATTTGGATTCTTTACCCTCAAATTGTGTAGGGTAGCCGGAAAATAAGGATCCAATAGTTTAGGCAGAAAAACATTTGCAAATGTAGATTAACAGAACATTAATTCACTTTTTTGCGTTTATAACCATGTCCACAGAACTACATAAATGCAGAAAATACTTTTTGCACACCCTCATAAAACGTGTTTATCCAAATATAGTTCTATATCGAATTACTTCGTATAATTAGTCATCTTTCATTGTTGAATTTATCATGTCAGACTCATTTTGAATTGTAAGGTATTTAAACTTTTACCCTAATTTAATGCATGTAATTTTAAATGTCAAAATCTAAAATTTAAAAGTAATCGGTCGAACAGTTTGAAAAATAAAATCAATAATAGTAAAAAAGTAAGGAAGTAAAAAAAATTCCGATAGCAAAAATAGTAAAATATTCCAAAAATGCTCCCTTTAGCATTTCATATTTGAAAGGGCACCAATAAGAAACTACTGAGCAGGATCAATGAAACTTTTTACTGAGTAACCCTTGCTATATCAAATGAGATAACATACATGATTATATGTCTGGCTTTGGCTATGAAAAAACATAACTAAGTCCTCATTTGGGAAAAAAACAACAAAACTACTTTTCAAACAGCCCAACATTTTGCATTACTTAATTACTCAGTTGCTTTAACTAATTAGTGGCATTAACTTTGCATTAATCAATTACTTAAAGTCAGTCTCCGAAACCATTAAGATTAATTCCTAGTGCGTAAAAGTCCAAAAATTGCAGTTATTAAGTTTAAGTTGTTTTTTTTTTTGCACTCCGTGAAGGAAAAAAAAAAGCGTGAGAATTTTTTTTTTCAAATGTGAGAATTTCCTGAACTGTATTGTGTGAACTTGCAAGAATTTCTTAAGATAATTAGTTTCTCTTTTTCTATAATCAAATTAAAGTGTCTTAGTAGGAAATCAACAAAAATGTTTAGTCAAAAGTTTAAAAATGTTTAGAAGAACTTAAAATCTCATCATTATTGTGATTTGGAGAATTCCATACAAAATATTTACTCAATTCAAAATATTTACTTTTAATTATAAAAAAGAATAAAACTGTTATTTTTTTAGAAGGTTGGTTAACAAATATGTAATGTATTTCTATATTTAACCATGTCCTAATGTACTTAAATGATTTACTTAAAATTCTTGAATAATATTTAATAATAATTAAAAACGATTTAAGCTCGTAAAAGAGATTTACCATGTTAAAATTTATTTCTGAATTACAAAAATAAATAAAGACTGAACAACTATTTTATGGAATACAAAGCACATCCCATACCTGATTACAGCAAACCAGATGTTAATTTTTAGATATTATATTTGTAAATGTAATAACTGCAAAAACTTAAAATTATTTTTTTTAATCTATTTTGTCTAAAATATCTTTACTTCTGCACAAGTTCTTAAGTAACATTTTTCACTCTAACATTTTGTATTGCTAATTTTTTTTTCTTCAAAATTCTACCTTTCTAGTAAAAATGAGTTTTATGACATTACAGTTTCATGACATCTATTTTTCTTTTGATATTGGATAAAAAATTCCCGTCACGCTCCAAACTGTGAACTACAGTGACTGAGTTATCGAACATTGGCAGAGAATATGATATTGAAAATATAAAGCTGTGAAACCTTCAAACCATCATTTTTCATCAAACTTTATTCTAGAGGAAAAAAGTCAGTTCTTGAGATTTATTTTTTTTCTTTCTTGTAGACATTTTGATGTAACTGGATGACGAATATTGTGTTGTAATCTTGTTGGGTTCCATTTTTGACTAATGATATCAAGGATGATTTGGCTTCACACTCAGATGGCTATGTAGAACTTTCATTTTATTATAAATAATGTTATATATCATTTTGCTATTTCAATTCACTTTAAATACCATTTTAATAATTTATTAATTTCAAATATCTGTTTACAAATTTACTTCATTTTGAAAATTCAATTCTTTCTTGAAATTTGATAAAAACAGAATTTAATTTTTAATTTTTAAATCACTTACAGTTATCATTATTACTCATCAAAAATAGCTATTTTTATTTTTAATCAAGAAGAACTGGAGCTCTTGAAAGGAAAGCAAAGGTATGCGTGAGGTCTATCCAGACCCCCTTTCGTTATCTAGAAAAATCTTGCTAAATTCTTCATCAAAAATAAAGATTTATACATCTATAGCAGTGGGACAAATTCAAAAACAAAATTACTTTTGCAATCATGACCATGATGATGACAATCATGACCATATCACCTTACGCAATCTGCAAGGAACTTTAGCCGTAGATTAGTTATAAATAGTCATGGAACCATAGAATTTTTTATTACCTTTTTTCATCAGTTGATTCGTCAAACAGGTGTGAATTGTAAATCGAGGGAATCATAATGGCGTTTATTCCCCTTACTGACATATTTAATTCGAATATAATTTTTACGAAACTGATGCAATATTAAAAATCATTGTTCTTAAATTGATGATAATTATTATAATAATTATAGATCTCATTTACATTAAGTATTATCATACAGGGGAGAAAAGCCAATCTTTAATAATTTGAATTTTTTTCTGAACATTTTGATTTACTTAAATGATGAGAAATAAATTTTCTTAGATTTTTGTCTAGTGAAACACTCCATTGAAACTTTCAAAATTTTCGGAAGAAAACATCATTACTTTGATCTACTGAATTATATTAATT